AATGCGATTATGTTCCAAACAGGCTATTCACGTGCTCCTCTAAAAGATGGCTACTTTATGCCTGCATAATCTTAATTTGTTGGCAGTTAATGAATGTATATGTGTATGTGATTTAATCGGTACATCAGCTGATAATATATGAATCAATAGATCAACTGCAAACTTTTTTAAAGTTCAGTGAAGCAAAAATAGAGGTACTTCTTTGGAAATGATTACACTTTATACAAAGGAAGGAGAAAAAATTGTTAAATCATGTTCTAGCTGTGTATCTAGAAAGTGAATACTTGATCTCACTCAACAAGCAACAGCTAAAATAGAGCATTATATTATAGTCACAATATTGAGTCATTGGTTAGAGCATCACTAATTAAAATCGTCTCATTTTTCCTCCCAAGTTGACTGACAGCTAATGTTTGTTTGTTTTATGACATTTTATTTTTAGCTTTCATTTAGTTTTACCTGCATGTTTTTAATAGAAACCAAATGAATTTAGGCTGCGACTGAATTTTGTCTTAACAAAGAATTCCATTGATAGAGAGCTTGAGATTTATCGTCACAGAGTTTGGTAGAAAAGAGCAGCTCTCAAATATGCCCAATGAGAAAGATACTTGCATATATCTGTGTGTGTATATGAACTTATATGTATGCTTTATATGTATAAAACCAAGAAAATACATCAAAATTATATACATAAATAGAATGTAAGAATAAAGTCTTGGATTTGGGATTATTTTGAACCACTAGAATTGAAAATTTATGTGCTTTGTACATGAGTCTCATTGGTTGGTAGAGCCCAGGTGCAAACAAAATCTTCTCCATCAGGAGCTGTAATTTTCTGTTATTTTATGCTGCGACAGAGAAGGGTCCATGTACAGCTGGTTTTTATTGGTTATGTCTCCCTCTTTTCTCCCTTTGGTTCAATCTCAACCATTAAGTAAGTGTTAAAAAAAAGTCAAACTGATGATCACAGAAATAAAAAAGAATTTGAAACAGCAGAAGAAAACTTCTGATCTGTAGCAGTTTCATCACACACCTGACCAAACTCTTAAAATCATAGAAAGCAGATGTTAAATCATAAGCAAAATACAGCTTTTACTCTTCCTTCTTTACATTGCAAGTTTTTGAACTAAAGTTTAAATGGTAATTGTAATGTCTGACCCCTAATAAACCTTTGTGCTGATCAGTACAGGAGCTGAGGGTATGTAGTATACAGTAGCTTAACTCTATTTCTACGAATTTTGTGAATCAACATCCACTGTGTCTCCCTACCTGCTCAGAACAACTCTTCATTTAGTGACACTTCCAGTCTGACAAGCAAAATTCTGCCAATTGATCTGTTTGTCTCTGGGTACCAGATCAGTGAGGCTGTCATTGCTTTGAAATTTCACCTCTCTTCACACTTCTGTCTGGAAGGATTTAAGCCGGGCTTTGGTGGAGTGCTGGGGGAGAATTTATTGGTGAGAAGTGGTGGGTAGCTCCTTTTGATATAGTGCCTTTCTGCTTTTGGTAATAACTTTTTAAAATGCATTGAAAATATATTGTGCTTTTACCATTTAAAATATGGATAAAAGAATTTCTTGCTATAAATATTAAATTTGTAGTTGATTATTTTAACTATGAAAAGCTCATTAGCTCTCTTATCACCAAGTTTTTTGCTTGACATAAAATTTCATTCTTACTTTGTAAATATAACTACGCTTCTTTCAGGGTGACACAAATATAATCTGAAATTGTTATTCATCATCACTGCATCAGTTTTGGATAGGACAATTGAAGTCAAGCTGAATATAATTTCCTGTAAATCTGTTCATTTTTCAAACGATGTTTTATGTGTACATTCTCTAAAGCAAAGATGTTGCCTTCTTTCTTAAAGTAAGTTACTGATAAAATATGCGTAATACAGATTTTAGTATGATTTTACGTGTAAATAGCTACAGGTACTGTTGTCGGTACTGTTACTGTTGTGACAGCTACAGCTTTTTTTGATTGCATTCTCATTTAGAGCTTGTACTCATGTGTTTTAGGATTTTGATAATGGTCAGGGTAAGCAGTGGCCAGGAGTTTGGGCATTCCCTTGCCTCGTGTTGGGTGCCTGGCTTGACACCTGATCTGGTCCAGAGGTGGGGAAGGCCAGGCAGTTCCTGAACCAACACTTTTCATTTAAACGGCCACCAGAGGCTGCTGCAGAACGGCAGACGCAGCTGGGCATAGGTTTTGAATTCGAAGCTGAATCCTGAACTTGACAACAAATGGCACCGTGCAGGTTCTGATGTGATTCTATTCCTTTCGTATGAAGTTGAAGCAGAGGTTAACTCCGACTTCTTGTATGTGTTTATTTCATTATACAAAAATGTACTTATCTGTATGCCAGTGTAATTGTGGGGACCAAAATGCGTTTGTTCAGTATCTGTTTTTCTGTAACTTTCTACAAAGGACATTCTTACAGTGAAAGTTAGTTTTTCTAGCATGTACTTGGACAGCACTTGAAACTTTGCTTTATTAAAAAGGTAAAAACATATTGTTTTAGAAATTTAAAAACATCAAATACTGTTCTTGATTATGTATTACTCATGTTTATATTTTTGATCAGCTCAATAAATGTGTACATTATGGGAAAAATTAGCTTCATAATTATACACATGTAGCAATTCTGAAATGGTTCAGTGTGTGTTAGAAACAAGAAAATTAAATCAAGAAGTAAACCTAAAAACTATGGGGGGGGGGGGTGAAAATCACCTGGAAGTATATAGTCAAGAGAATAAATGGTAGGAATTGTGTGGCGTATTTGTAATAATGTAACATCACACATATTTATGTTCTTTCAGTCTTTTCAGAAAGTAAGCTGTGACAAAAGTACATCAGACTTTCTGACTCATAATATCAAGCACTTTCATTGTTTGGTTAGAATGTAATAGTACTTTAAGCACCTTTATTTTTTAACTTAATGTCTGTTTCTGTAAGTCTGTAAACCCATCCTTATGTGAGTTAAAATTATGGTGTTGTGTCTAGGACTTGCATGCTAAATTATGCTAAGTGAATTTCTGTGTTTGGAAAGCAATAGCAAAACACACTTTCTGATTAAGCACAGTTTTTCCATATAGTCCCTGACAAGAATGAAAGGTATAAGTCCCTAAATATCAGCTACAGCTAATAAATTAGTCTGTGTGTGTGTAAAACAAGTCAGATAGTGTGTAAAGAACTTAGCAGCGGTCTGTCAAAGCTATGATATTACACTGAGTGAAGATACAAGTGCTTCATGCAGATCAAGTCAAAGAAATGCTCTTAAAACCTTAAATACCACATCATAATTTACAATGCATGTTCAAAAAAAGGGAAGAAAATATTTAAAGCCTATTTTATCCAAGGAGTTAGATGGAAAGAGTTTAGATGGGGCTTTAGAAAGCCGAGAAATGAAAAGTAATTTCTCTGTAACTAAATTTAGCTACTGAGTCCCTCTTAGATTGTCCTGGGGCTTAGAAGCTGGTGCCTGATTGCATTTGGAAAGAGACCATTCCTTTCTTTGTGTTAGGCTGTGCTGCCCCTGCTATGGGGCTGCAAACCAGCGTGTCTGCTGACATTCAGTGTACAAAGAATGTCACACAAGAAGCAGTGTCCCTGTGAAACTTGAGAATGTGTGGTTTCTGAGGGTGGAAAATGTATAGAAAGGTGTTAGGAACAGGACCTTCTTAAGATAAAACAATAGGATTTGGAAAATTGGAGTAATTCCTTGAATAGAAAACTTATTTATAGGAAGGTTGCTCTTAATTGCAGTTTGTGGGTTTTAAAGAGTTGGGCTGGAGCTCAGAGGCATCTTGTTCAAGGGCAAGAGAGCTTGGACCTATGTTCAGCACTCACGTAGGAAATGTGCGTATGCTGGTTCTTAGATATGGCAGTAATGGGAAGGAGGGACATATATTTGGTTAGAAGTCAAATGTCTTTCACTTAAAAATTTGATGGGAAGAATGACTGATACATTATTTTCAGTAGAATAGAATACGTAATTCTAGTGGTTTCTTGTATCATACAAAAGGCCACTTTGTCTCTAGAAGGAGAGCTCTTCAAAATCTAAGCTACTCACTTAGCAAAAAGAAGTCCCAGCATCTGTGTTCATGGGCTGCTAACTTACTGTTTCTGAAGACGTGACAAACATTTCGTATCAAATCTCTCATAAAGAGAATTAGGTATCTTTAGAAAGAGTTCTGTGAATGCCTAACAGTTGTTTCAGGGTGCCACCAGACTGGTACTAGTCCCAGTAATTTATTCAACATTGAAAAAATCAATTTCTACACAACTTAAAATAAAGGAGAGAAAAATCAAAGTTTTGGTGTGTAGATATATAGAAATATATATGTATGTACATCTATATTCCACATTTAAAGTTTTTTTTGCACAGATATGTGTGCTAGCTGTGCCATTGGCTGGGACAAGGACAACAGAGCATACATACAGCTGTATTTCATACACTGATAGGAGAATTTTCTTAGTTGTGTGCATTCTTGACTTACATGGATCTCTTTTACCTAGCCAATTAACAGCCACTTTTTTATATAAGGCAGTAGTAGCAAAATTTTTGTTTGCTGAAGGTATGAGCCCTTTTAGCAAGTATTCTGCTAAGAAATCAGTGGATGTTTTTCTTACCTGCTCCCTACAACTTGAGTCATAGCTGTGGACTAAAGAGCTTCCAGCAAAGAAACCTGTCATGTTGAAATACCTGCATAATACGGATGAATGTGTGTATTCCATGCTTTGTTATCTAGGAGAACCACTACAGACTCTGTTATAGGGAGAGATTAAGCGTAATCTATAAAAGATCGTGGTCTCAAGTCTAGGAGGAGACTACCAAGTAGTTAGGCCTGGCCGGACTAGAATAAGGAGCAGAAGTCGATCTTTGATGAGGAAATTGGGTTAAGTTTCCTATTTTGAATAAAAATGTTCTTGGAAGAATATTTGTATGTCTTCACATGTATTTCTATGTCTTATTTTATTTCCCTTGCCCACAGGAAATCCATCTTGCTTTTCTGAAATGGCTCGAGGGAAATGTAGATGCTGAAGGCCTAAGAGCATCCAGCAAGGTGTCTCTTAAATTTGTTTCATCCTGTGAATCAAAAATTGAGATAACTCCATCTCTCATGCCAGTCATCACTGAGATGGGAAGCTTCTCATCAGCACATTTCAGCCTGAAGACATATCAACAGAATCTTCAAACAAAAAAGCTTGGAAAGATCCTTCTTTTTACTGAAGTTACCACAACAACAATGAATCTTCTAGATGGGTAAGATAGTGATCTTGACCATACCAAATAAGCTCTCTGATCTGGAATTTACAGTTATAATAACACAAAATATTCATAAAGGAAGTTTGTTCTCCGGTTTATTTGTTGGCTCCTAGCTAGCCAAAGTAAAGGAAAAAAAAAAGAGATAGGACACAGAATAGAGGTCTTTGTGTTCACAGAATATTAATTGATAATGTATGAAATACTAGAGCATAAAGGGTGGGAAGATCTGGGCGTGACAAGTGTTAACTTGACAGTGAAGTTTAATCATTCCTCTTGCAAAGCATGAACATCACCATAAGAAAGTTTAAGGTATTAAGTATATATATTTAGGAGATTATATTCATTTTCTGGTACAAGTTATTTTCTAAGCTAGTTGTTTGATAAAAGTGATATTAAGTAGATTATGGCCTTAATTTTAACATTACTGGAATTTTTAAAAGCCAGGTTGGCCAGGGCTTTGAGCAACCTGGTCTAGTGGGAGGTGTCCCTGCCTATGGCAGGGAGGTTGGACTGGATGATCTTTAAGGTCCCTCCCAACCCAAACCATTCTATTACTGTTTTCTCTCATTCCTTTTACTGAATATTTCACTAAAATGCTCTTTAGTGTTTTGTTGGGGCTTTTTAAAACATCTGTTAGGGTTCACAGAATCACAGAATCACAGAACGTTAGGGATTGGAAGGGACCTCAAAAGATCATCTAGTCCAATCCCCCATTGTTGTGCTAGACATTCTTTCATCATCACATAGATGACCCTTGTGAATGGGTTGTGGGATACCTTTGAGAAGGTAGTTCATTAGAGTTTTGAATGGGATTAAACGATATGAAAATCACAGTTACTAAATCTTAGGTTGGAGTCTATGTACAAAGGCTATACTGTTACAATTCATGAAACAGTCTGATGGAAAAAAAACTGTCTTTGGGAAGTTGGTGCTCTTCAGGACAGATTTCGCTATGTGTGTTTCTACCTGCATCAATAACTTTTCTTGGCAGCTACTTTTGAGTATCAGTGTTAATTTATCTGCAGAAATTGCAGATGAATTTTACTGTTGAAAATAACCTCAGGAATTTTGGTTTGGATATTTTCAAATCAACATCATCAATTAAATCATGTTGAATGTTATTGTAACTGATTACTTAACTAGCAATAATAGCTTTAGTTCTCAGCTACAGAGCCTAAATTGTGAGGCTGATATAAGCTACAGAGTATGCCTTCTTGTAAATAATAAAGGTGGTTTGTTTTAAAATACATACACATGCAATCTGTGAATGAGGATGCATTATAACAGTATTAAAGTAAATCAGTTTGTAGTCTTACAGTTTACACTGTGATAGAACTTACTTTTTACTTTTTTTTTTACTATTTACTTTTCATTCCAAACTATTCTCTGTATATGCCTATGTACTCATGTGCGCACACATTAAATAAATGTTGCTATCTCATTTTTACACTACCCTCCCCTGATCTACATTCTCATCTTGCAGCTGATTTTGCAATCGCTTTTGGACATAGACAGACATGCTAATTTGATAAGAGGCCACAAAGAAAAGAGTTATTTTATAGAAGCATTTGTAGCATTTGCTTCTTAATTTTTAGTATTCACAGCATGTTCAGCCCATTGGATTGAAAGCAGAAGTACTGTGAAGAAACCGACAAAGTGATAATTCAATAGGTCAGGACCCTTCTTCTCTGACAGTTGTTTTAGGTGATGATTCTCAGTAACATTTTTCACACATCTCAGTAAAATGAAGTATATAATTCAGAGTTTTGTGAATTTATTTAGATATCACAAGCTAAATAAAATCATGTCTGGCCAATTTATATATAATTATATTATCAAGAAAGGCAAGAGAGGTAAGAGAAGTAGTCTTTTTTTTTAATTACTCTGGAACCTTTACTCTCTTATCTTTGAAGTGGGGTACCAGCACAGTGATCAGCACTCAGGTTGCTTTTTTACATTAAGTAGCCCAAATGTAGTGAACTGTTTACAGATGTAGGTCTTCAAGGTTTTCCCCATTGCGATGCAGCTTGAGTAGTCATTTTTCAGGTAAGGTGTAAACTAGAAATGCTGACTCTTAGTAGTGTACACTGGGAAGATGATCCTAGTCAGATTAGAATTTGAACAATGAAATTTATCTTACAGAAAGATCTTTGTTTTAATAAGTTTAAATCTTTGTCCTAAGTATTATAGTTGAAGTTATTGTAAATTCTTCATTGCCATGGATGATAGAATAGTGTAGTTCATGTAGGTTGCAGTTCAGCAAAGTACCTTGAAATTTCACAGATTATAGCATTTCATAAACCACTAGAAATTGATGCAAATACCTATTAGGTAAATTTATTGAAGAAAAAAGTTGTCCTGTTTTTACAGTACTTCCAAGTGAACCAATATGAATTTGTTAGGATATGTGTATGTCACTTTTTTCTAATTGCAAGTCCTGAATGACAGAAAACATATCTCAGGAAAAAGGAGTTTCTTTTCTTGAACAAAAAATAGACACCTATTGATCATTCACAATTCCTAGAAAAGAAATTGCAATACCATGTTTATGTATTAATATATTGCAATAAGCACGTGTTACTCTCCTAGGTCTCTCAAATTTTACCAAGTTTATGATATTTGAAAATATGATACAGACACCTCAAGAGCTTCATTAGTGCCATTAATTGTAAATTTAGTTAGAAAATTATAATTGAATTTACAATTAACTTCTGTGACTTTAGATTTTCTTATACCTTTCCCACCAACTCAATGTCAAACTGTTGTCTCTCTTCCTTTCCACTTCCCTAAACCTTCATACCCCCCAAAAATTAAGACGTGGAAGGAGAAAGTGGGCTGGAACTAATTTAATGGCTGAGCGACCTCACAGTAGAGAAACAGCCGGAGCCTAATAGGGGTCTTTGTCTGCATTTCCACCCTGGCTGGTAACGTGCCAGTCAAAAGTCAAGCAAGAGAAACAGGTGGAAACTATTAGACCTGTCATAAAGTTTGAAAAATTGATTCTGGAGGCTAAGTGAATAGATTGAACTTGACAGTGTTGTCCTAAAGATTCTAAGGGAAAATTCTGTAGTTTAATTTGGGATCCCTTGATTGTTCATTAGCTCTCCAGATGGCAGGTCTTGGCGGTTTGTGTATTAACGTACACACTGTATTATCACTGGCGTACATTTATGTGTCCTAAGGAAACAAGCAAAATGTGAATTCACCTGTAGGTATCCAAAATTAAATGGCATTATTCTAATTGTAAAATAAAGATTTGTTTAAGTGTCATGTGGTTTAACATGATCAATATTGCTCTTGTGATTTCATGCTAAAACCTGTACTTGAATCATTTGAGACTATTTTTAAAAGCATTTCCATTTTAATTTCCTAAACTAAAATTTTAATTCCTTATCAAAGATTAGAAGCTCCCTTGTTTTTTTTCTCTAAAAGGAAATCTGTGAGTTTCATTTCAGAAACCTTGTCTTCAAAGATATTTATCCTAATGCCACTTCAACAGATTAACCTTGCCAGAAGCAGTTCCACTTCCTCTGTTTCCTCTCCTTAGAGCATACCTGGGATTGCATGATTTAAGATGAAACCATTATTTTTGAAGATGTATCTGGTATAGTGATACAGGAGTTACATTGTAGAGACGTACTTATTAGACTCAAGACAAAACTTGAGATTGGTAAAGAAGTATTTTTAGCACATTCTAATTGGCTGGAATGGTTTCACAAGCATTTAATTAAAAAATAAATTAACTAGATATACATTTCAGTTTTATTCTTTACCAGCACCTTATATCCTGTTTTAATATTTTAGTTGGCAGATTTGATTTATACATGATTAAGCCAGCATGTGATATTTTCTATATGAAATGCCATTATGGATCCCTTTTCCCCAGTATTTAAGAAGCACAAAGTGCCATTGTTAGGAATAGTTTGACACAAAAATGGTGAATTTTAGTGGAAATGAAATGTGGGATGAAGTTGCTTTCATCATTGCCAAATAGGATATTTAAATAATATGTCATCATAAAATAAACAATTCCTAAACAATTAAAAGCCTTGAAAAAGGAAATCCTTTACATCACTACTTCCCTTTGGGGTTTTCTTTATGCTTTTCTAGATTCATATTGTTGAATTTTTAAAATTGTACTACAGATCTAATTTTGCAAAATGAGCATTAGGACTAATTTTATTTTAAGACTCATGTTTTAGTGGTATTTGTGCTGCTAATACAGGTGAGTGTGAAAAGTAAGAGTAGCATATAGTTGAAGGAGATTGGAATGGCACTTCAGAGGCACAAGAAGACAAGTTGAGATTGACAAACTGTATTTTGTACTTAGCGAGTTTTATTTTCCTTTCAAATCCTTGTGATGTTTTACTCTATGTACAGAGGCTTTGTGTGAGTCATTCCATGCATCTCAGTCACCTCCCTTGCTGTGTCACTGACCTTCTGGCTTCCTCTCTTGAAGATATATGGGTTGCTGGAGTACAGAGTCTTCAAAGAGTGATCTTTGTCTTTTAGGATGGTGATACACTATCCAAGTACATTAATGTTTTGCTATAAATAAGTGTTTTATCACCAATATTAACAGGTGATAAACACCCTTCACCCTTCTCCCTCAAGAATGTGTGTTGGAGAGCTGGAAAATACCATGGTGGGCAGGAAGGATGCTCCTGAAAGGAGCTAAGCATTGCTGTTGGATTTTTAAAAAATGTGTGCTGATAATCAGTTGCACTTTAATGGTGCATACATTGTATACATAATCTTTTCTACAAATATGTAACCAGAAATATTTTATCAGCTTGTATAATGAGTACTTCACATGCAGAAAGCTCTCACAACAGTTCATATTGCTTTTAAAAGCTTAGATCCCTTGGCTTTGTTTATTTGTTAAATGGTAGCATGGGGTAGGAATGCTTTGCTTAATGAATATCTAACCTAAAAACTCAATAGAAACTAGTGGTGATAGAACTGCTCTGTAAGGAATTTTATGCTTTTAATCTAGA